CCCGCTGCACCGGGGAGTGGTCGTCGTGCGCCCTCTCCACGACTCCGGGCGGCCCCCCACGGGCTCGGCCGCGAACCCCTGACTGCGCTTACCCAGCGGCAGGAAGTTGGCTCCGAGAAGGCGGAATCCAAACCCTTTTGACCGGAGACTGGGAGACAGGACGGCGTGCCGGGGAGTTTGGGGAGTGCGTAGGAGGTGGGTAGGGCGCCCCTCTTGGCTAACTCCGGTTGAGCAAAAGGTGCTGCGCGCCGAGGAGCCGCCAAGCCGAGGGGCGGGGCCCCTGGCGAGGGCAGTCGGCCCGTCTGCACATCTGGCGCTCTGCCTCAGTTTCCTCACGTCGCCTTCAGTTCCCCCGCGGGGACCTGGCTTTGTTCTGGAAGAGAAGGGAGCGTGACTGTGGCTCCGGCGCCTCTCCTTCCCCCCTGGGGCCCGGGGATGGGGCAGGGTGCAGGCGCGCGCGGCATGGGCCCCGCTGGGTCCCAGGCCCAGCAGAACTTCGGAACCTCGCCCCCTCCCCCGGCACGAGTTGACTCACCGGGGATTTCCACCCCCTCCCCAAACTCTGTTCTAGTCAGATGCTCCGGCGCCACGCGCTGAGCCCACAGTCTCCCCTGTGGCTCGACACCGACACCGGTGCTGCGCTTGCTGAGGTTGGGATCTCCCCCACCCGCACCCCCCTTGTCTTCTGGGAGTATTGGGGCAGGGCACCTGGCGGGACGGGGAGGGGTCCCCCAACCCCACTGGCGGCTGTGGAGATGCTGTGCGTGTGTGTGGCGAAAGAGAAAGGAGGTGCGGCCCCAGCAGCCCGAGTGTGGATACCGTACATTCCACCGCCAGATAAGGAGGCTGAGACTGTGGCCCAAGGGCGGGGGCGGGTCCTGTCGCCGTTTTCTGGGCATCTGGGCTTGCCTAGCAGGGAGGCTGCCAGCAGACCCGGGCGTCTCCAGCCCTCTTTGCTGTTTGGGGCTGGGCTGAACGTAGGAGCCTCCACCCTCCCTGGCCCACTGGGGCCTCATTTGTTTTTCGTTGGCTGGTTGATTGGTTGGTTCGTTCATTCATTCATCCATCCATCCGTCCATCTGTTTATCCACATCCATCCCACATGTTTTCTGAGCACCGTGAGTATGCGAGGTCTCCATCCAAAGGGGCTGTAAGTGGACTTGGTTGCCGACGCATTCTACGATGGAAGCCAGACAGAAATCTAGAAATCATGCTTTTCACCAGTGTTAAGTGCTGCCAAGATAACAAAGCAAGATGCTCTGAGGAGACAGCGGCTATTCTAGACCAGGGGTCAGAGCAAATGACCTTAAAACTGAAATTTGAAAGATGAGGAGACCCCTGGGGGAACGAAGACCACTCAAGGATTTGGGGGAAAGGCATGCCAGGCGGAGGAACAGCAGGGGCAAAGGCTAGGAGGTGGGGTTGGCCTGTAGGAGGCCAGTGTGGTTGGAGTGGAATGGCTCTGGGGGAGAGTGGGAGGAAGCTAACTGGCCAGGGGCCATGCCAATTGGGGCAGTGGGGAGCCATGGAAGAATTTGGAGTGAGATATTGGGGCTCCCCAGGCTGCTGTATGGAGAATGGCCGTGTAGGAGGGACCTGACAGCTGAAGAGAAGCCAAAGGAAAGTGGGGGTTGGGGCGCGCTGCCCTAGGCAAGAGGCATGGGATCAGTGAGTGACCATGGGGAACCGAACCACAGGCCCTGCCTCAGTGGAACTCGGGGGAGGGGCTCCTGGAAGCACAGAGCTTCCTCCTGTCTTCCTCCCTCCTAATCACCCCCTGCACAATCTTGATCTGTGTCTCTTCCCTGCCCTTCCCAACCCTGCCTCTTGTTCCCACTTGTCCCTCTTGCTCCATTTCAGGCCTGGACATCCCCTGGTTTCGAGCCCAGTGACCTCTTGCGGAGCCTCTGGGAGGGAGTCAGGGCTGCCTTGGTAAAGGTGAGCAGCAGACAGGCCCGGTGTGTAGCCAGGCCTGGGAGCCCACCCAGGGAGGAGAAGCGGGCAAGGCATGCATCTGCTAGCCCCAGCCTGGGGCTGGCTTCCTCTTTCTGGAAAGCACCAACCTACTTTAAGCTCCTGCTATAGTTAGCAAAACTCTAGTTGGGAAGATGAAGTCATCTGGGCCTCAGTTTCCCCTCCTCTTACTCGGAGAGCCACCCCTCCTGAGGATGCCTACGAGCCTCCTGGGGCTGCAGAAAATGAGGGTGCAGTGCCCTGGTCCTCCCTCCCAGGGAAGAGATAGACTTTTTG